GTCAATCAACGCCATCAGTCCCTCCGAACACCACCATCACTCACACACACCGCTTTCATATGAGGCAATGTGTGTGAAGTGTCTTGCCGAAGGACACAATGATTGAACTGATTGTGTTTAAGTGTCTTTGACTCTCAACTGTTCTGGACCCGGAGCAGGTTTTGTGTTGATGGAGGAAACCGGAGGAAACTCATCCAGACACGAAGAGAAACACAAACTCCACACAGAAAGACCCGGGTCACCCGGGGATCCAACCCACAACCTTCTTGCTGTGAGGCATGAGTGCGAAACAAAAACAGAGTAAATAGAGACATGTCATAATACCGGACGGATGTCGTAATACCAGCAGGTCTAAACCAGGACTAAACAAGGTCTAACCCAGGTTTAAACCAGGTCTAATCATCTAGTTTGTCCCAGTCTTCTCTCTTCCACCACTCGCCTCCTCCCCGTCCTCCTCCTTCTCCTCTTCCTCCTTCGTCTCCTCTTCCTCTCCTCTCGCGCTCTCGTCTTCGTCTTCTTCTTCTTCGTCGTGGAGTTTGTATTTGTCCTTCAGTCGTGTGAGAAGTTGGTTTCTCCTCTGCTCCTCTGCTAACGTCTTCGTGGAGCTCTCCAGCTCGGCGTGGGCTTTCTGCAGCTCTTCACACATCTGCTGGATTTGCTCTTGCAGACGTGTTTTCTCCTGTTTGATCTTTTCATGTTCATCACAGAGAATCTGCATCTCCTCCAACAGTTCTGTGATCCTCTGTCGTTGTCTGTCTGTCTCTCTAAGCTCCTCCGATAACCTGTTCTCCACACTTTTCAGATCTTCAGACATGCGCTTCTTATAAGATTTAAAAAAAAATTCCCGAGGGCCTGAGGAACCGACTCCTGTCCTCAACGTTTCGAGCTCCTCCTTCAAATTCACCTTCTCTTGGTTGAGCTCGGTGACAGTTTTGAGGAGCTCTGAATGGGAGTCTTTCAGCTGAGCATGTTGTTGACGTTCCTCCTTCAGATCTCGTAGGTGTGGGCAGACTTCACCTTCTGCTTCATCACACCTCATCTGAAGTTTCTCCAGTGACTCCTGCTGCAAGCAGATCCTCTTGGTCTGTTCTTCCAAGTGGAAGTGGATGAGGCGCAAAAAGATTCGGTTCACCTCCTGTAGCTTCTGGTTCTTAACCGAGGACTTTTCGATCCTTTCGCACAGATCTTTGTTCTGATTTTCTAAGTTTTGGATCGTCTCGTTTTGTTGCTGGTTCTGATGGTTTAAGTTTTGGATCCTCTCATTTAGTTGCTGGTTCAGATGGTTTATGTTTCGGATCATCCTGTTTCGTTGCTGGGTCTGATGGTTTAAGTTTTGGATCCTCTCATTTAGTTCCTGGTTCTGATGGTTTATGTTTCGGATCATCCTGTTTCGTTGCTGGTTCTGATGGTTTAAGTTTTGGATCGTCTCGTTTCGTTGCTGGTTCTGATTTTGTAAGATTCGGTTCCTCTCGTTTTGTTGCTGGTTCTGATTTTGTAAGTTTCGGATCCTCTCGTTTTGTTGCTGGTTCTGATGGTTTAAGTTATGGATCCTCTCGTGCAGGTCGAGGTTACAATCTGTTAAGCTGCAGATCCTCTCGTTTTGTTGCTGGTTCCGATTGTTTAAGTTTTGGATCGTCTCGTTTTGTTGCTGGTTCTGATTTTGTAAGATTCGGTTCCTCTCGTTTTGTTGCTGGTTCTGATTTTGTAAGTTTCGGATCATCTCGTTTTGTTGCTGGTTCTGATTTTGTAAGATTCCGTTCCTCTCGTTTTGTTGCTGGTTCTGATTTTCTAAGTTTCGGATCATCTCGTTTTGTTGCTGGTTCTGATTGTTTAAGTTTTGGATCGTCTCGTTTTGTTGCTGGTTCTGATTTTCTAAGTCTCGGTTCCTCTCGTTTTGTTGCTGGTTCTGATTTTCTAAGTCTCGGTTCCTCTCGTTTTGTTGCTGGTTCTGATTTTGTAAGTTTCGGATCATCTCGTTTTGTTGCTGGTTCTGATTTTGTAAGTTTCGGATCGTCTCGTTTTGTTGCTGGTTCTGATTTTCTAAGTTTCGGTTCCTCTCGTTTTGTTGCTGGTTCTGATTTTGTAAGTTTCGGTTCCTCTCGTTTTGTTGCTGGTTCTGATGGTTTAAGTTATGGATCATCACATTTCGTTGCTGGTTCTGATGGTTTAAGTTATGGATCCTCTCGTGCAGGTCGAGGTTACAATCTGTTAAGCTGCAGATCCTCTCGTTTTGTTGCTGGTTCTGATTGTTTAAGTTTTGGATCGTCTCGTTTTGTTGCTGGTTCTGATTTTCTAAGTCTCGGTTCCTCTCGTTTTGTTGCTGGTTCTGATTTTCTAAGTCTCGGTTCCTCTCGTTTTGTTGCTGGTTCAGATTTTGTAAGTTTCGGTTCCTCTCGTTTTGTTGCTGGTTCTGATTTTGTAAGTTTCGGATCATCTCGTTTTGTTGCTGGTTCTGATTTTGTAAGTTTCGGTTCCTCTTGTTTTGTTGCTGGTTCTGATTTTCTAAGTTTCGGTTCCTCTCGTTTTGTTGCTGGTTCTGATTTTCTAAGTTCTGGATCCTCTCGTGCAGTTCCTGGTTCTCAGCCTCTAAGATTTGGCGCTTGACCTTAGGTCGGGATTTTCTAAAAAAAACCCAGGGCATTTTTTCTGTTTAAATATGCAGTAGGGAGAAAAGCTCTAGTGTAAACGTGCAGTAGTAGCTCTAGTAGCAGTACACGCAGTACACGCAGTAGTTGTAGTACACGCAGTAGTCGTAGTACACGCAGTCGTCGTAGTACACACAGTAGTTGTAGTACATGCAGTAGTTGTAGTACACACAGTACACGCAGTAGTCGTAGTACACGCAGTAGAAGTGGCAGTATTCTGTGTCTGTAGTGTTTGTTTCGTGTTATACTTATAATCTTCTTCAAAGCAGTAAGTTGCTTTGTGCTTTGTGCTTGTCCTTTACTGATGATGTCATAAAGCAGAGCGCTGCTTTGAAGTAGCAGTAGTAAAAGTATTAGTAAAAGTATTCTGTCACTTTAGTGTTTATTTCACTGTGTCACTCAAAGTTTACTTTAAAGCAGCATCGTGCTTCTCTGATGATGTCATCAAGCAGAGTTCTATCACCATGGAGATCCAGGGCGGCATTAGAACATCACGTTGCTACGGCGACAGCTTCTCAGGCTCCAAAACTATTTTAGATTCTAGAATGTGATGATGGTGTAACGCGGGTGACAAAACCGCCTTAGCAACAAACTCTCTTGCCTCGCTCCTGCTCTCTGTTTGCGTCCCTTTGCGTGCGTCCGATCATGTGACCGCGGCCGCCCAATTAGGAGCTTATATTAGCGCAAAACCCGGAAGCGCGGCAGACGCGAGAGAGATAAACAAACGCGAGCTACAGGTTTGTTTTTAAGCCTCAATTTGCTTCAATCCGCGATGACAAGTTACTAAACTCACCGTTTTAAATGTTTAAATGTCGTCTTGTAGGAGCCAAAAACCATCGCCCTTTGAGCGCCCAAGCGAGCCGTATAGTGACGATCTGACGGGATTGTTAAGCCCCGCCCAGTCTCTGTTTGTTTGTATGGTTAGCTTAGCCTAGCCGCCTCCGGCCTTGTTTATGCCAAATTTCTAATCATTTCTGTTGCACTATTGTGGTCCAATTTGACATGTAATCACCATCAAATGATGACTTTTATTGTCTTTTAGTGTCCACTTGGTTACTGTGCACTTTGTAGTGTTTTTTAGCTTTACATTGTGCCTTAAATGATTGAACTGCCTTTAGCACTTTAAATCCAAAGCTGCTGTGCTATTTGAATGTTATTTTCATGCACTTTAATTCAAAAAAGGATTTTTAATTAATCATTTTAATTATTTTGATTAATTAATTTAACAGTCTAGTATATTGTACAATATTTGAATATTAATTAGTATTTATATATTTTATAATACCACTAGTGTTGTGGAGTAACAGATTACATGTACCAGAGTAATCAGAGTACAAATGATGAGTAACTGTATTCAGTTACAGTTACTGTTTTAATGAGTGGTAATTGGATTACAGTTACTTTGTTGAAATAAGTGGATTACAAGGCGGTATTCTCCTGTTTTCACATTTTGTGCTACATCCCATTTATTTATTTTATTTATTTTTTTGGTAATTCCACTCATTGCCGGAAACTCAAACAGAACGCGACAGTAAGAGCGACGTAAACGTCATGTTCACGTTGGCGACGTCAGTCACACAGTGGACGAGGTGGAAGAGCCAGAAGAACAGAGCAGCACAGGGGAAAACACATCTGTGTCTTGGAAATTCTTCTCCCAACGTGAAATACAAATATATAAAAAAAAAACTAATATAAAATCACCTACAATTTAAATGTCAAACCAGAGCGACTGACGCACACACACACACACACACACACACATACACACACACAACACACACACACACACACACACACACACACACACACACACACACACATACACACACACACACACACACGCACACACATACACACACACACACACACACACACATACATACACACACACAACACACACGCGCACACACACACACATACATACACACACACAACACACACAAACACACACACACAAACACACACTAAAGTTTACTTTAAAGCAGCGTCGTGCTTCTCTGATGATGTCATCAAGCAGAGTTCTATCACCATGGAGATCCAGGGCGGCATTAGAACATCACGTTGCTACGGCGACAGCTTCTCAGGCTCCAAAACTATTTTAGATTCTAGAATGTGATGATGGTGTAACGCGGGTGACAAAACCGCCTTAGCAACAAACTCTCTTGCCTCGCTCCTGCTCTCTGTTTGCGTCCCTTTGCGTGGAACGGGCACACTCCTACCCGGACCTGAAGGCAGCCCTCCTTACCAAGTTTGACGTCTCCCAGAGACGTATCGGCAGCAGTTCCGGTCCATGGCAAACCCACCTGGAGAGAACCCAACAGAGACTTACCACCGTTTAAAGGGGCTCTACCGACGATGGATCCGGCCAGAGCAGCACACTAAGGAGCAAGTCGGGGAGCAGATTATCTTGGAGCAGCTGCTACGGGTCCTCCCGGCAGACATTCGCACCTGGGTGAAGGAGCACGAGCCAACAGAGGGATTAGCTGCGGCCAAGCTAGCGCTGCAGTACCTCAATGCGCGGAGGGGAGGCCCAGCTGCCTACCCAGGGGGCCCTGGTCGGCAGCCTTCTCAACCCAGACCGGCAACCAGAGTCAACTCCCACCTGCCTGGAGATCCCAGCCCTGCACCCAGCCAACGTGGTCCCGGTAAGGAGCTTGTTTGTTTCTACTGTCAGCAGTCAGGTCATAAAGCTTCCCTGTGCCCGATCAAAAAAGCTAAACTTTGTGGGGCATGTTATACCCCACGTGCTGAGGATGTCAGTGCTGGAGAGAGGCGGCAGTGTTACAAGGAGGTTACTATTAACGGTGAACCCGTGACAGCTCTGGTTGACTCTGGTAGCTTGTTAACCCTGGTCCGAAGGGACGTCGTGCCGACAAGCATCGTAGATTACAGCAGGCAGGAAACCATTTTTGTGTGTACATGGTGACTGCCAGTCCTACCCTACTGCTGATCTGACGGTGACTGTGGATGAACGGTGGGGGTGGTGGAGAAGTTACCAGTAGCTGCCATCCTGGGGTGGGATCTACCTGTGCTGATCGATGTGTTGCAGGAAGGGGGAGCTAAAGTCAGTGACTGTGGCAGGGGGTTTTCGGGTCCTGTGATCACCTGTGCGCAGGCAAGGACAGGGGTGACATCCCTCACAGGGCAGGAGCAGGGGTCCAGTCTCGAACCTTTTTCTACCCTGGACAGTGAGTTGTTTGAAGGGGGCACAAAGGGGCCTAGGAAGTCACGCCGCCAGCGGCGCTTTGAAAAGGGACTAAAGTCGAGGGAGCCAGACTTTAAGGCAGGATTGATGTGGGAGGTGCCAGAGGACATTGGGGCCTTACAAAGGCAGGATGAGACTTTGAAGCCAGCATTTGCCCGATATGGCAAAAGGAAGCAGGGAGTGCTATGTTATTGACAATGATATCTTGTATGCAGTGGCTGACGGTGCCAGGCGCCTCGTGGTTCCCATGTCGTGTCGACCACTGGTCATGCACCTGGCACACACCGTGCCTTGGGCTGGTCATCTGGGTCGACAAAAGACTTATTTGCGCATAGCTTCTCGCTTCTATTGGCCCTCCATGTATGCGGATGTACAAAATTTCTGTAAAACCTGTCCCACCTGTCAGAAAACGTCCTATGTCCGCCAATCTGACCGTGCCCTTCTCCAACCTCTGCCCATGATCTCCACCCCATTTCGCCGTATAGCCATGGATATTGTTGGCCCATTAGTGCGGAGTAGTGGCGGACACCAGTACATCCTGGTGCTGTGCGATTATGCCACCCGGTTTCCCGAGGCGTTCCCCCTGCGCACCGTCACTGCCCTGGCGGTGCTGTGTTGTCGTGTGCAGTTGTTTTCCAGGGTTGGTGTTCATCTGGCGCTCTTTGGCCAGATGCAGACGCGCCAGTCGGGAGATGACGGGGCAACACAGGCGCTCCGTCACATCATTCCCCCTCTCCCCAAGGTTGGCGATGTGCGGCAACTTGGACAGATAGTCCGCCACCACATTGGCCTTGCCAGCTCGATGGCGGATCTGGAAATGGAACGGCTGGAGAGAGAGATACCAGCGGGTGAGACGGCTGTTATGATCTTTCATAGAGTTCATCCAGGTCAGAGAACGATGATCAGTCTCTAAGACAAACTCCCTCCCCAGCAGGTAATACCTCAGACTCTCCAGCGCCCACTTGATGGCCAGGCCCTCCTTCTCTACAGTGGAGTACCTGGTCTCACGTGGCAACAGCTTGCGACTCAGGTATAGCACGGGACGTTCTTCTCCAGGTTCACCTTGGGCCAAGACTGCCCCCAGTCCCACTGCGGAGGCATCAGTCTGGACCAAAAACTGCTGGCTGAAGTCGGGACTTCTCAGCATTGGGGAGGAACACAAGCAGTTCTTAAGGGTCTGGAAGGCTGTCTCGCAGGCCTCGGTCCAGGAGACAGGAATCTCTGGTACCAGCCAGCCAAGCCCTAGAAGGACCTCACCTCCTTCTTTGTGCGAGGGCGTGGGCAGCTGCGGATGGCCTCGACCTTGTCCACCTGAGGCCGGACCTCACCTCCTCCCAGACGATAGCCCAGGTACGTCGCCTCCTGCTTGGCCCACTGACACTTGGCAGGGTTTAGTGTCAGACCTGCCTGTTGGATCTGGCCAAGGACTCGCTCCAGGTGATGCAGGTGCTGTTACCAGGTGTCACTGAAGATGACCACATCGTCCAGGTAAGCAGCACTGCAGTCGCCACACCCCTGCAGGACACGGTCCATTAGTCTCTGGAAGGTGGCAGGTGCTCCATGGAGGCCAAAGGGCATCACGGTGAACTGGAAGAGGCCGGCAGGTGTCCGGAAGGCCGTGTATGGGCGACTGGACACCTCCAGAGGCACCTGCCAGTAGCCCTTGCAGAGGTCAAGGGTGGTGATGAACCTGGCCTGACCAATCTTCTCCAGCAGGTCGTCAATCCGGGGCATCGGGTAGGCATCGAACTCGGACATCGCGTTGAGCTTCCGGAAGTCGATGCAGATGCGGAGTGAGCCGTCCTTCTTCACCACGATGACCACCGGACTGCACCATTCCGATTGTGATGGCTCGATCACCCCCAGGCGCTGCATCTCCTCCACCTCCTTCAGGAGCTGTGCCACCAGATGTTGTGGAACCCGGTAGGACCTCTGGCGGACCGGGCCCTTGTCCTTTAAACGGATGACGTGCTCGACCAGGACCGTCTTCCCCGGGTTGGCAGCAAACAGCTTGGAGACTCTCTGGAAGACCTGGATCAGCTGGCTGGCTGTGTGATGGACTTCTCGAGGTCTGGACTCTGGACTTTACATTTTTTGTTTTTAGAATCAAAATAAATATTTTTTCTTCTTCTTTGACGTTTTATTATTGGCCTGTGGAAATTAAACTGGAAATAAACTCATTCTTCTTTGGCTCGTTTGTTTGATTTTAATTGGGACTCAAACCAAAGCACAAAGTGTCTCAGGTCAGGTTTAACTCAAGTCCACTCAGGTCCACTCAGGTCCACTCAGGTCCACTCAAGTCCACTCTTTAAACTCAAGTCCACTCAGGTCCACTCTTTAAACTCAGGTCCACTCTTTAAACTCAAGTCCACTCAGGTCCACTCTTTAAACACAAGTCCACTCAGGTCCACTCAGGTCACTCTTTAAACTGAAGTCCACTCAGGTCCACTCTTTAAACTCAGGTCACTCTTTAAACTCAGGTCACTCTTTAAACTCAAGTCCGCTCAGGTCCACTCTTTAAACTCAAGTCCACTCAGGTCCACTCTTTAAACTCAGGTCCACTCTTTAAACTCAGGTCACTCTTTAAACTCAGGTCCACTCAGGTCACTCTTTAAACTCAAATCCACTCAGGTCCACTCTTTAAACTCAGGTCCACTCTTTAAACTCAGGTCCACTCAAGTTTACTCAGGTCCACTCAGATCCACTCAGGTCCACTCTTTAAACTCAGGTCACTCTTTAAACTCAGTCCACTCTTTAAACTCAAATCCACTCAGGTCCACTCTTTAAACTCAGGTCACTCTTTAAACTCAAGTCCACTCAGGTCCACTCTTTAAACTCAGGTCACTCTTTAAACTCAGGTCCTCTCAGATCCACTCAGGTCACTCTTTAAACTCAAATCCACTCAGGTCCACTCTTTAAACTCAGGTCACTCTTTAAACTCAAGTCCACTCAGGTTACTCTTTAAACTCAAGTCCACTCAGGTCCACTCTTTAAACTCAGGTCACTCTTTAAACTCAAGTCCACTCAGGTCCACTCAAGTCCACTCAGGTCCACTCAAGTCCACTCTTTAAACTCAGGTCCACTCAAGTTTACTCAGGTCCACTCAGATCCACTCAGGTCCACTCTTTAAACTCAGGTCACTCTTTAAACTCAGTCCACTCTTTAAACTCAAATCCACTCAGGTCCACTCTTTAAACTCAGGTCACTCTTTAAACTCAAGTCCACTCAGGTCCACTCTTTAAACTCAGGTCACTCTTTAAACTCAGGTCCTCTCAGATCCACTCAGGTCACTCTTTAAACTCAAATCCACTCAGGTCCACTCTTTAAACTCAGGTCACTCTTTAAACTCAGGTCACTCTTTAAACTCAAGTCCACTCAGGTCCACTCTTTAAACTCAGGTCACTCTTTAAACTCAGGTCACTCCTTAAACTCAGGTCCACTCAGATCCACTCAGGTCACTCTTTAAACTCAAATCCACTCAGGTCACTCTTTAAACTCAGGTCACTCTTTAAAATCTGTGTGCAGTGATTTTATTTTTGCAGTGCTCAGACTCTGATCTGAGGAAGCCTCTGCGACAGCTGAGGCACCGGGCATCTGGACCAAACCCAGACCAGACCCGGGACCAAACCCAGACCAGACCCGGGACCAAACCCAGACCAGACCCGGGACCAAACCCAGACCAGACCCGGGACCAAACCCAGACCAGACCCGGGACCAAACACTGTCACATGTCACATGTTTAGATCACCAGATTAATTTTATATTTTTGAAAATGGTATTAACCCAAAACAACAGATTCCAAAGTTCTGGTTTAGACCCGGTTTAGACCTGGTTTAGTTCTGGTTTAGACCTGGTGTAGTCCTGGTTTAGACCTGGTTTAGTCCTGGTTTAGTCCTGGTTTAGACCTGGTTTAGACCTGGTTTAGTCCTGGTTTAGACCTGGTTTAGTCCTTTTTTAGTCCTGGTTTAGACCTGGTTTAGTTCTGGTTTAGACCTGGTTTAGTTCTGGTTTAGACCTGGTGTAGTCCTGGTTTAGACCTGGTTTAGTCCTGGTTTAGTCCTGGTTTAGACCTGGTTTAGACCTGGTTTAGTCCTGGTTTAGACCTGGTTTAGTCCTTTTTTAGTCCTGGTTTAGACCTGGTTTAGTCCTGGTTTAGACCTGGTTTAGTCCTGGTTTAGTCCTTTTTTAGTCCTGGTTTAGACCTGGTTTAGTCCTGGTTTAGTCCTTTTTTAGTCCTGGTTTAGACCTGGTTTTAGTCCTGGTTTAGTCCTTTTTTAGTCCTGGTTTAGTCCTGGTTTAGACCTGGTTTAGTCCTGGTTTAGTCCTGGTTTAGTCCTGGTTTAGACCTGGTTTAGACCTGGTTTAGTCCTGGTTTAGTCCTTTTTTAGTCCTGGTTTAGACCTGGTTTAGTCCTGGTTTAGTCCTTTTTTAGTCCTGGTTTAGACCTGGTTTAGTCCTGGTTTAGTCCTTTTTTAGTCCTGGTTTAGTCCTGGTTTAGACCTGGTTTAGACCTGGTTTAGTCCTTTTTTAGTCCTGGTTTAGACCTGGTTTAGTCCTGGTTTAGACCTGGTTTAGTCCTGGTTTAGACCTGGTTTAGACCTGGTTTAGTCCTGGTTTAGTCCTGGTTTAGACCTGGTTTAGACCTGGTTCCTGGTTTAGACCTGGTTTAGACCTGGTTTAGACCTGGTTTAGACCTGGTTTAGTCCTGGTTTAGTCCTGGTTTAGACCTGGTTTAGTCCTGGTTTAGACCTGGTTTAGACCTGGTTCCTGGTTTAGACCTGGTTTAGTCCTGGTTTAGACCTGGTTTAGACCTGGTTTAGACCTGGTTTAGTCCTGGTTTAGAGACCTGGTTTAGACCTGGTTTAGTCAGACCTGGTTTAGACCTGGTTTCAGACCTGGTTCAGACCTGGTTAGACCTGGTTTTAGTCCTGGTTTTAGACCTGGTTTAGAACCTGGTTTAGACTCCTGGTTTAGTCCTGGTTTAGACCTGGTTTAGACCTGGTTTAGTCCTGGTTTAGACCTGGTTTAGACCTGGTTTAGTCCTGGTTTAGTCCTGGTTTAGACCTGGTTTAGACCTGGTTCAGACCTGGTTTAGACCTGGTTCAGACCTGGTTCAGACCTGGTTCAGACCTGGTTTAGTCCTGGTTTAGACCTGGTTTAGACCTGGTTTAGACCTGGTTTAGACCTGGTTTAGGGTTCAGACCTGGTTTAGACCTGGTTCAGACCTGGTTTCAGACCTGGTTTAGACCTGGTTTTCCTGGTTTAGACCTGGTTTAGACCTGGTTCAGTCCTGGTTTAGACCTGGTTTAGACCTGGTTTAGACCTGGTTTAGACCTGGTTTCCTGGTTTAGACCTGGTTTAGACCTGGTTTAGACCTGGTTCCTGGTTTCCTGGTTTAGACCTGTTTAGACCTGGTTTAGACCTGGTTCCTGGTTTAGACCTGGTTTCAGACCTGGTTCAGACCTGGTTCAGTCCTGGTTAGACCTGGTTTAGACCTGGTTCAGACCTGGTTTAGAGACCTGGTTTAGACCTGGTTCCTTTTTTAGACCTGGTTTTAGTCCTGGTTTAGTCCTGGTTTAGACCTGGTTTAGACCTGGTTTAGACCTGGTTTCCTGGTTTAGACCTGGTTCAGACCTGGTTCAGACCTGGTTTAGTGGTTTAGACCTGGTTTAGACCTGGTTTAGACCTCCTGGTTTAGACCTGGTTTAGACCTGGTTTTAGTCCCTGGTTTAGACCTGGTTCAGTCCTGGTTTAGACCTGGTTTAGACCTGGTTTCCTGGTTTAGACCTGGTTTAGACCTGGTTTAGACCTGGTTTAGACCTGGTTTACCTGGTTTAGACCTGGTTTAGACCTGTTTAGTCCTGGTTTAGACCTGGTTCAGACCTGGTTCAGACCTGGTTTAGACCTGGTTTAGACCTGGTTTAGACCTGGTTTTAGACCTGGTTTAGACCTGGTTTTAGACCTGGTTTAGACCTGGTTCCCTGGTCAGACCTGGTTCAGACCTGGTTTAGACCTGGTTTAGACCTGGTTTAGACCTGGTTTAGACCTGACCTGGTTTAGACCTGGTTTAGAACCTGGTTTAGACCTGGTTTAGACCTGGTTTAGACCTGGTTTAGACCTGGTTTAGAGACCTGGTTTAGACCTGGTTTAGACCTGGTTTAGTCCTGGTTTAGACCTGGTTTAGACCTCCTGGTTTAGTCCTGGTTTAGACCTGGTTTAGACTGGTTTAGTCCACCTGGTTTAGACCTGGTGGTTTAGACCTGGTTTAGTCCTGGTTTAGACCTGGTTTAGACCTGGTTTTAGACCTGGTTCAGACCTGGTTTAGACCTGGTTTAGAGACCTGGTTTAGTCCTGGTTTAGACTGGTTTAGACCTGGTTTAGTCCTGGTTTAGACCTGGTTCAGACCTGGTTTCAGACCCTGGTTTCAGACCTGGTTTAGACCTGGTTCCTGGTTTAGACCTGGTTTAGACCTGGTTCAGTCCTGGTTTAGCCTGGTTTTGACCTGGTTCAGACCTGGTTTGGTTTAACCTGGTTTAGTCTGGTTAGTCCTGGTTCTGGTTTAGACCTGGTTTAGACTGGTTCTGGTTTAGACCTGGTTTAGAACCTGGTTTAGTCCTGGTTTAGTCCTTTAGACCTGGTTTAGACCCTGG